TAAATCCTGTTGGTTCAAAAACGCAAAATTCCAAAAACCAGAAACAATCAACTTTGGCCTTAATTGCTGAACAGGTAAATTATATATTATTGGTAAAATATAATAAATTTATATTTGTTTTCAAGCACAAATATATTTTATATACATGTTGTGCGTGAAAATGAAATCTACAATTCATGTATGTGAAATTACATTAGCCAATCAAAAGGAATTTCGCATTCGTATTTAATTATAGATTTCAATTTCACAATACAACATATACATTTAATATTTTTTATATATAGCGTGGCGAATTATTAGGCGAAACACCATTAAAAGCTCCAGCACGATCTGTATTTGATTATATATCAAGAAAAGATAAAGAAAAATTGGATAATATAATCAGTTACAGATTTGATACAGTCGGAGAGTCGCCTAAGGATCAAAATAATAAAGTTCAAATTCCCAAAATAGGAAAGGATATTGCTATGGCTGCTTTAAAAGGATTTATACCATTTTCAGATAATAAAAATAAACAAATGAGATATAAACAGTTTCAGGTACAGATGTTGTTCTTGATAAAATATTCGAAAATCTCTGAGGAATATTTATGACTCCTTCTTTTTTGACACCGGTTGGTGTAGAGCCATGACGTCTATGTTCAGATTGGCCTCTCGAAACTGCGAATATTGGTGAAATCGGAGATGTTTGGGGGGAAGTAGTTTCACGTTGACCAACTATTGCTAAACTCAAACGTCGAATTAGTCCAACACCACCAGCATTTGTGTTTGAATGTTGATTCTTACCCTTTTTAGCGTAAGATAACTCACCGTCATCTGGATTTTCTTCAATAACTTCTCTTTCAACTATCACCGGTGGAATTGGTCCAATGTTAAAATCAACTTCTCCATTTGTCCTTGAACGAGGTCTAGCCCCAGATGGAACAGTAGCTCTTCTTATGGGAACAGCAGATGAACTATTTCCGGAAGCAGATGAACTGTTCATGTTTATATCAAATCCAGTTTCACTTGGATATGATGGATCTGGTAAAGGAATATGAGGCGTTTGTAAACTATTTTGTTCTACAAGTGATGATGATGATGAACCAAATTGAGGTATAAAACCCTGTTGAATCAAACGTTCCCTTTCAAGTTTTTCCTTTACAAGGTAATAAATTGAGATCAATGGATGAACAGCTTGAGTAGGATCGGCTGTAAAGGTTCTGTCTTCGTTAATAGAATTATTTGATCCAGAAAACTTTCTACGATAATAGTCAAATCCACTACTACTACCACCACCAGCACCACCAGCACTCATTCTTCTTCTATGATCAAAAGAAATATTACTACTGCTACTAGCACCACTTATATGTGTTGGATATATAAAGTTTTTTATCGAATTTTGGTATGATTCACTTTTTATAATATTTTCAAGGCGCATTTTAATTTCTTGTTCTGTACCAAATTCAAAGCCAGTCATGCCCCGAATTACCTCCATATCGAGTGGAAGACTTAATGGATTACGTGGAGGTAAAAAATTTTCAAGTGGACCTTCGTGACCTTTATTCATCCAAGTATCATTCATAACTTCTGCTAACGAAGCACGATGAAGTGGATTTGCAACTAACATTCTTGATAAAAGATGTTTACAATCTTTATACAGGATTTTTTTTAAAAAAATTAAATAAATCAATCAATCAATTTAAAAAAGCGATATTTATATACACATATATAGATAGATATTATTAAAATTTTTATCTTACCACTACCCAACCATCCAGGATACTCAACTACGCCCTTTTTGATTTTTGCATGTAAAGCAGGCATACTTTGATCATCAAAAGGTACTTTACCACAAACAAGAACATATAAAA